GTAGGGCGATGGGAGGGAGCCCTGCACAGAGCTGCAACCCACATCACACTCACATGCACCTCAAAATGCTCCAGCCCCCGGAGCGGGTGTATGAGAATATGCACAAACACAAGAGCAAACCAGCTTGACTTTGCTTAGGAAAAAAAAGTAAGATCCTTTGTGAGCAAGAGGAGAAGGCCATGCCGAAGGCAGCAAGAAATGAGAAATCAGATCCTGCTTTACGTCCCCGAGCAGCCTTGCTGTGCAACCCTTCCATTCAGAGCAGGCCCATGTTCCTTGGGCTCATGCATCACTGAACCCAGCGGCTCAGATGGTGGGTGGGCCACAAAACCCACGGTGAAAGGCTGGCTGCACACCTGGGAGCTTAGCCCCTGTCGCACCCAAGAAGCAGAACAGTCCACTCTCGTGTATGACAGGCGTGCTGGATGCTCCCTTTCCCCACAGGGCTGCGCCATGGATAAACTCACCTCAGGGCTACAGTACGAATGGGGGAGTATGAGACACAGCAATGTGGCTGTCCCATCACAGGCTGCCTGCGAAGGGTTAAGATCAGAAAGAAGCCAGGACACCTGGCCAGGTGCCAAGGCAAGCCTCCAGCTAAATGGAAGGTGGCCAGCCAAGAGGCAGAGGCTGCTGTCCTCTCCCAGTAACCCAGCCTGCTGTGACCCATCCCCACAAACAGCTCTGGCACCCCACAGGCCTTGGGCCCTGACAGCAACAAGCCATTTACAACGTGTTGCTTAAACAGCTCCTCCAGCTGGGTTCCCTTCTCTAAAACAGGTTATGTATACAAGCCATAAACGTGATTTTAGCTCTACTGGTCTAGGCAAAAAGGAGTATTTAACACAAGGGGTCTTCTCCAAGCTGGGGGTAACTTGCACAGGATCCCTTTATGTAACACTGAGCTACGTGTGTGTTTGTGTCTGACTGTAGGTGTGCTGAGCAGCTACCTGTCCAGTTGATACTGAACACGTAGGGTGTACTCCTTGTTACAAGCAAAGTTGGATTTTACTCAAGGTCATACAAACCCCTGCTATCAGTGCAAGGTGCAAATTGTCACGTTGTTGGACGACAGCCTGTTCACCACTGACCGACCTGCTCTGCTGAGGTGTTTGAGCTGCAAGGACTGAACTTAACCATGAGCACACACACAAATTAATTTAAAAGTAACAATGCTCTGCTCGTCACATCATTGTTCTGTGCAGCTGACAGGGAACAGTTATCAACCAGTTGACATCAAAATTTTTATTTGGATATTAACAAAACTATGAGGGTGTCACACCGTTGTGACTGAGAAACAGGTAGAGTGACCGCCACTGTGGTTTTAAAATTTTTGGTAAGGAAAAAAAAAAGAGAAATCCCCTTTTCACTTGGCTCTGGTAAGTACAAACTTCAAGAGCTCATTATATGAGTTTCTAACACTTGCAGGGGAAAGGGAAGTACTCGTACTTTGCACCAGAGAAGTGAAACACCGAGGGAATGACTCCTCCATCCCAGCCTATGTCAGAGAAGAGAAACGAATCCAGGTTACACAGGCCCTTCTTTCTCCTCAGAACAGCATCAGAAAGTTTTCAGTTAACCCACGTGCCCCCCCAAAGTCCACCACGTTCTGTATAGGAGGTAGAGCCCAGAGATCTGCAAACCCACCACCCCCCGGGGGGCTATGTGAGGCGCTGATCTACCTGGCCAACAGCCGCAGGCCGTGGCAGGAGAGGCGTTTCCCCAGCCCAGAGCAGGCAGCGTGACCCAGCCTGGGGCTTTCACAAGCTCTGCATAAACACGACCTCAGGAAGAGTAAATGCAAACCACATTTCCGAAAAACTTTTCCCCAACTGAAGGGACCTCGGTTCCTAGCCCTGGGAAAACAGCTGAAAAAGAGGCATGGATGCCAAACCCAAGGGTCTAAGAGTCAGCTTTGAAGAAACAAAGGGTGGGAACATTCATTTTAATATGGGAATTGATCCGGGGGAGAAAGCCGGCAAGCAACATTGCTGAGAGACAAGCAAAAAGGAAATTTACTTTGGACCTAATCCTTAACAAACTTAACACAAGAGAGAGCTCTGCGGACACTGCTCCTCACCTCGGCTGCTCAAAGGTCCACCCACGGCCGCCAACAGACAGGCAGCCCTTGTCATCCACAGCACAGCTCTTGGGGTGGAAAGAATGAGGATGAAGGTGAGAGTGAAGGCAGGTCACTCTGAGCCAGAGGGAGAGGGGAGCAGTATCTGGCACTCCTGCTCCTCCCAAAGCCTCCCCACCACTCTAACATAGGGCTCTGGCTCTTGGGGGAAACCAGGCATCCGAGCTCCCTTTGTTCTGCAACACAAACCTGGCTGCTCAGCCCACACCTACCAGGGGACCGGGCTCCAAGCTGCAGTCCCGGAGACAGGAAAACTGCCCCAAAGCTCAGGAGGGCCAGCACGGCCCCAGAGCCACAGCCCCACACAGGAAGGCTGCCCCTGCCTGCCCAGGCACTTCAGGCTTGGAGGAAGAGAACCGGACCACCCATGCGCCCACGCTCGCCACGGCTGGGCTTTGTCCATGCCATGCTGGGCGGCGCGGCCGGGGGAAGTCTGCCAGCACTGCTGGTGGGCCAAGGCAGCCTCCAAACTGCTAACAGGTGGCTTTCAACAAGAACAGCTCGAGTTGGATTTGAACGGGTGCCCAAGCAGAGAGAGCTCCAAGTTTCATCCTCAGCCCCCTCAAAATTTTCATCTACCAGGATCTACACAGAGAAAGGAAGAGGAGTCTGTACATCGAGTCCCTTCATTAGTGGTTTCGTCTGCTGCTCCATCACCTCGCGTGGTGCTTTCTCCTATGCAAGCATGCCCCGGAGAACCAGACCTGCCTGCAAGACCTCCCAGCCTTCTGCTCATCAACAAACAGGACAGCAAGATGTAGCTTTACCCCTTCCCTTCAGCAGACCACAAGGACAAAATCAAGGGCAAAACGTTACGTCATGCACAAGGCAGGGCTGAAAGAGCTCAGGAGACTGCTCAGCCCCACACCATGAAACCTGCTGCATGGTTTTAACCATGGTCCACTCCGCAGCGAGCTGTGAAGTTGACACCAGCACTGCTGGGACAGCCGGATGCTGGGACAGCCCCGGTGGCTGCAGCTGCCTGCCGGGAAGCCAGGACACGAGGGATTCCCACAGGAAGCCAGCCAAGGTTCAGGCTGGGTGCTGCCCTCTCCCATTCCAATAGCCAGGGTCTAGTCCAGCTCCTTGTGCGGAGGCACAAATGATCCCAGTCATCCCTAGCAAATCTGTCAACTGGGACATGCTGTGGTTTCCACCACAACCTAATACTGTTGGAAAAACAGAGCAGGAACTGCCTCGTCCCCTCTGTACCTCCCCCATTTTCCCCAGAGCTGGCTTGTTGCCCACCGTATTGCTCATCACTTCAGAAGATTTCTGGGACTATGGAGGCATGAGGGGTTTTATATGCATTTAATCAGCAGCCTTGCATCCTTCCTCTCCATCCATCCTTCCCTTCTCCCCTGCTCCTTTGGATGTTTCCCTGTCCCCTCCCCATTCAGCTGGTTTTCCCATCAGTAGCCCAGACTTGCTCCTGCTCTTATTTATCTTCACAGCAAGACGCTCATGACTTCAGGCAGCCCTTGTCCTATAAACCTTCTGCTGTCCCAAGGAACCTTGCTGAGCTCTCCCCATCCACAGGGGCCATGCAGGATCTGAAGGAAGAACCTGTCAACTTTCTGAACAAAATTTCACTGAACAAATACAAGCATTAAAGTTCCTGTTGGTTTCCTCCTACACAGAGAAGCAGAGGGGTGGACACAGACTCATGTCAACGCTGAAATGCATTAGATAAGCAGGCTGCTAATGTCAGGTGGCTATCAGAGCCACCTCCTCGCCTTTGTTTTTTCCTCCTTGAGAGAGATCCCGGTGTTTAAGGAAGGAGACGAACAATGGGGGATACCCCGTCGTCCCATCCATACGAACCCGCATCAACAAAAATCCCACGTGTCAGCGGAAGAGAGGGAGACACACAGAGAAAATGCAGAACGGTGCTGGCATTTCAGGGCGCCCTTTTTAGCTACAGCAGGAAGGTCAGAGCCAGAACAGACAACTCCAACACAATGAGCTGCCGAAGCTAAATTTAAACCCATCAAGGGCATGGACACAGGAGTTTGTTTTTATGGTGAGCTGACAGACAATCAACATTGTGCCACATCCCTGCTCAAAATAATTCACAGCTTTATCATTACTGACAGTCTTTGTGTTTTATCAAAGAGGCAGAGCCCATGCTTACACCCATTTGCCAGTCTAAGTCAGTGGAAATGATTAACTGAGAATTATTCCAACTTTTCCATTTCTATTATGCCAGTCTAGGAAAATCTATTACGTTCTTTTCCCATGATGGGACCACCTCATTAGGGAGCCACTTATCTAGCTTCCTCACATACACACTATCCCTAACGTTACCTTAACTGCTATAAACACTGTAACTCTCAAGCCCATAGTCCTTTCCCAACATGTCACTTGGCAAAAACTACTTTTCCTTAAAGCCGGGTCACACGCTGAGGTTTCTACACTTTGCTCACAGATGTCAAGATTTGGTTGGCAAACTGTCTTTGCATGCTTACTCAGAAAAAATAAAAGGAGGTGACATTTACCCAGCACAGCTATCTCAGTATGATTCTCAGAACCGCAGAGATTTTGAGAGGAAGAGGAACTCTTGTGGAAGAAAAAACCTGAGGTGTTAAAAGCAAGGAAAGGAGAATGTGCAAGAATAAAATTATGAAGTTAAGAGATAAAATATGCTTCAGCCCCAATGAATGGAAGGGAAAGAGCCCTAGCTAGAATTCAGGATGCTATTTTTAAGTACAGTGGTAGAAAAAGAGAAAACCATGTTGCCATGCCAGTAACACATTTGTTATTTGGTGCCCAGGGAGACACTCAGATGATTCGTATGGCTGGTATTTAACTTAGTATTTCTTGCTAGGCTTATGCTACAGCAGAGAAATAATTTCCTTACTCTCAAGCATGTACTTCTTGGCAATGGGCAGAGAGAGCAGCCGGATGTGACCGATGAGGGAGCCCCAGGCATGGGCTCTGGAGAGTGGAGCTTCAGGCGGCAGCGGGCTGTATGGCTGGATCACGAAGTAAACAGTCAGCAAGACCAATCCCAGTGTGAGCAGGCCCTGCGAGAGAAAACAGGCACATAATTAATTATACTGCAGTGAGCTGATGTGTCTTCAGAACAGGACACACCTTCTGGTTGGTATCAAAGGGTTGTGGCTGTGCGCTGTAAGATGAACGCCCAAATTTTTGCTGTGGTTCCTCGCTCAATTGCAATGCTATTTATGTACACAGATTTGTCACTCAGTTTTCTTGTTAGGGCTGTCCAAGGACAAAATTAAGCAGCCTTCAAACCCAAACCACAAAACCCTGTGCATATATCCTAGCACTGCAAACAATCCAGCACTAGAGCAACGAGGATTATCTACAGATAGTTCCAATTCCTCCCACCTAATCAAATAAAAGCTTGCACTTCTGCCATACCTCTTACACAAGGTTTTCAAGGCTTTTTGCAAACATCCGTCAAGCCTTGAAACACTTTGGCAGAGTTGGCACCAGCTCCCTCCTCCATACCAGAATCCCAAATAAGCCTTAGAGATGACATGACGCATTTCTCCCCCTGGCCAAAGTCAAAGTGAATCAACAGCAAAAACAAGAACAGAAGCTGGAAGTTCAAACTTCCAGTTTCCTGTTCTCCTGCCTTATTTTGCACCTTTTTATAGGACATGAGTACGAAAGCTTGAATTTTTTTTCTAAACAGAAACTACCGTGATGACTTTGTAAAGATGACACCAAAATATTACTGAATATTATGCCAGTGGGAAGGTTTAAATCCTTGTAGCAAGCATCTCAAACCTACCTAACAATAGCATGCTGTCCCTCACTTTGCAAAACTTTTTACAGCAGCTTTTAAGTTAAGGATCTCAAAACATTTTTCTAGTATCAAACATCATAGCAACAGTTTTATTTTATAGACTAGAAGGAGAATAAAGACAGACAGAAGCTTGTGACAGGGTCAGAAACAGAACCTGGCTCTCTTCATTATTCAAGTCTGAACTTTAAGAATCGCCTTCCTTCATCACATTTCCACTGAGGGTGCTGACACTGGGAATCTTTGCCCAAAGAATCCATCTAAGTCTCATTCTTCAGTAATTTAAAGAGAGGAAGGTGTTGACATGTTAAATTTCCAACACACATGAGCAATTTCAAATCTCGGTCAACTGTCTTCTGTTTCCAAACAAGTTCATGGAATGAAGGAAAGAAGCTACACTTCACAGCTTTTTAAAAAAAGAACTCAGAAAAGTTCATCAAGAAAACACAATGGGAAATGAAAAGCTCTGGTGCAGAAGGAGAACTCCAACACTCAAACGGTCTGTGCATGCACACCTTACCTTGTAGAGAGCCACTAAGATAGGGTACCGTGGAGGTCCCCTTTGGGGCTCATTTCTTTCCAAGAGCTGCTTGATGAATTTCTCTATGGCTTTTTCTGACATCCCACACTGGTGGCCGGTCTGCCTCACTAGATCGATCGTCTCCGATAGCTTGTCATAAATGCTGAGCTCATTGGCCGACAGCTCCATGGCCTCCGATGAAAAATCTCTGTGGAGAGATTCAGTACGTTAACAGAAAACACACTCCAGCCGTACGGCTCAACACCAGCACGTGCGGAGAGATCACAGGAACATCGCAACGTCTGGGCAAGAAGGAGGGCTACTCCGGAGCAAACCTGTTTGCAGCTAAAGGCAAAACATTTAGCTGTAGTGCTAATAGTCTCTGCTGGTTCCATATCTCCTGGGGACTGAAAAGCCGTGAAATTTCCTGACAAGAGAAGAACTAGCCGAGATTCGCAGCTTATGTAAATGAACAAAGCTTCCCAGAAATCAATGAAAACGCCATTTATTCATCTATTCCAAATGAATCCATCCCATAAAGTGACTGCTCACCAGAGCCAGCAATACAAAGCTGCTCATCACACACAGTAGCCAAGCTAAGCTCTCCCACACTATAACTTTAGTCACTTATTCTAACGTAGATTTGTTTTCTATAAATCCCGTCAACAACCGGAACGGGACAGAGAAATAAGCAGTGTGGGGCAAAGTTCAACAGTTTACAATTTGTTTAAATTTTCGCAACCTAATGTCCAGGCCAACTGATTATTGAGTAATCCTAACTGATAGCAGCATGCTCTGCAGGCAACAAAAGCTCCTACCTTCCTCTGAAAGTTTGCCCGCAGGTCATTCACATGCAGAAATGCCACATAACTAAATACCCCAGCAAGAATTACATTGTGAACAGGAGACAGAGACTAAACAGCATTTGACAGCAAATTATTTCCCAGTGAGATTTCAACGGGGACGCTTCTAAGAACACACCTATGAGCAATCAACATTAAGATGCCAAAAAAAGAAATGTGTTCTTCTACCACTCCCCCTGTCAGCCACAAAGGCAGAGCCTTGCGATACCAAGAGCAGCAGATGGGCTGAAGAAAAGATGCAAAGAAATTGCTGGACAAGCTAATAGCTGCCAACGTGAGAATCCCATTGTTTGAGACCTTTTGCCTCAGAAAAACACTGCTGGGGTAAAGGGAGCATCTGTGAGGTCTTGCATCGCCTCTTGTTCCTGAGCTGGGAAAACTCTAACCTGGATCAAACTGGGACAACTGGAACTTTCTGGGGAGACAGAGTTTAGCAATGCATTGCTCTAAAAGCACAGACCATCATGTAAAAAGCACACGAAGCACGATCGAAACACCCAGCTCACAGATGAAAATGGAAATCAGGCCCCTGTCCCCCTTTTGCTCTAAATACTACCTGAAACCAGGAACCAGCTCGTGAATCCAGCGTGCTGCTTCACCCAGCTCACCACCTCGCTCTGCAAGAAAGTCTGTCGCTGTACTGCAAGAACTGTATAACTATTTACACGGATCTCCTCCTCGCACACCTCACAGCACAGCCTGCATTTTAAAAGCACAGATCTGTTTTGCTCACTTGAGAACAAGCTGACAAGCACTACATAGCATGCTACCTAAACTTAGATTTGCTCTGCTGTAACTCGTTCTGGCTGCTTCCACAGGACAAATCAGCCACAAATGTGTGTATCTATGTATCAAGAAAGAAGATCCTCGTTAGGCAACCAAACTTGAAATCTGATTTGCCTTTAAAGAACTGGCTGACAGCTCTCCCTATAAACCATGGGCTCCTACAAGTCAGATTTTTATTATTTTTTTAGTATCTTCTGCAATGCCAGAGTGTACTTTCAGAAAAAATAATTTTAAAAAAAATCACTTTTCAGCAGGACTACCAGCTTCAGCAATCGCTCCTCTCCCCTCAAGATCAACTCCCTGTTCTGCTCTTGCACATTTGTTTATGTGGTCACATGGTGAATCAGATCAGGAAAATTATCTGGCTGAAAAATAACCCCTATTTGTTTGGTCAGCAGCTGCCTAAGCATCCAACTCAAGCAGTCAATGTCAGATGTTATATTAACATTAGTGTCAAATTTCTAGCCGCAGCCTTAGAACCACCAGAAGAGTAAAATGCCAAATTAAAACCTAACCCCAAGCACGCAATGAGAACACGCTGCACTACATTGCCAGGTTAATTAGCTCCTGGCCCTGGTCTACCGACATTCCTTGCGTTCCACGCAAATATTTGTCCCAGATCTTACAACCTGAACAGTCCCATGGGCTAGCAAAGCTGCCCCAAAGCAGGCTGGATCAATAATATCTCATTATGGATCATAAGCTCTCCAAGGCAGGGACTTTTTCTTCTCGTCTCTAAAGCACCTGGCACGCACTTGACTCCATAAAAACAATACATTGCTTTACTAACTCTTTCATTTATGTAATACCCTGATTCATATAACAAGCAAGAGCCAGCACATCTGCAGGATATTAGATGCCTTCCCCCCTTCCCCCCCCCAGCTTTTATGGTTATTGTAGTTGCCTTGATGCTGCAACTGGTATGCTACATAGTCTGAAAGGTTATCTGGCTTCCTCTGGCTCCCATGTGCCAAAGCTTTCGCCTCTGTGAAGCTCTCCTGTGCTGAATTCCAGCAGATTCAGCAAGCTTCCCCTGCTCGCAGGATCTGCCTGGAACCACTTAAACCAATCATCCCTATAGAAACACTGTCAAACACTGTGATTTCCCCCTTTCCAAACAGCAGAAGCATCCTATGATAAAATGCTGAGATACATCCCAGTTCTCCCCTCCTCTACGTTTGTATTCCACTCTGAGCAAACACCTTTGTAGACAACGCCTGCAAGTCACAGACATTAAAAACCCAACGCAGCTCCTCGACAAACTCAGTAACCCATGGCCTCAGCTAGGAAACAAGGCATTACGCTCCCACATTGTTTTGAGAACAGTTGAGGCCTTAAAAAATAAATAACAACCCATTATTTCCCTTCCTATCACCACAATACAACCGACAAAATAATAACAACAGACTACTTGTAGCTTTGCCTTCACACGCACATACTGAGCAAGTCTTATCCCTTGCAAACAGCAACCCCTCAGAGACAGGCCTTTTAAACTAGGCAGCCCATATGTTATTGCTATTTTTTTTTATGAACTCCACCACCCTAGGAGGAATTAGCAGTTCTCTCTGCAAACATAAATAGCGATGGCTCTCGGCCCTGAAGGGTTTCCAGCGCCCAGTTCTACCCGCAAACCCGATGCATGGCGGGGCGTTCGGATCCAGGCTTTAGGAAACTAAATATTTGGAAAGAAATGTCCGAGGAGTCTTTAAAAGGGAAAGCTTGCTATTCTTGCTGGTGAACCTGATCCAGAGGTATAAATAAAAATACATTCTCATCTGCTTTAACACCGTCCGTGCTGCCTCCCCCGGCCCCGCTCAGGGGAGTCAGGTCCCAGACCTGGGATAAAAACCCTCCGGAGGAGGGCCGGAACCCCACCACGGGCCCACGGCATCGCCCTTATTCATGTCTGAGGCAGAGGAGCTCCAGATAGGATTAAAAAAAAAAAAAAAAAAAAAAAAAAA